ACTTCACGAATGTAACTTATAACATAACTGATCTTGTCTGCAAAATAGCTTGCATTTCTTGAAAACACCCGTTTATAAGAAAATATAAACTACCATTATTATTAGTCTACCTTGAGTACTATTCACTTGTGATGTTACGAAGAAAATGCTGACAAAAGTATACAAGTGGATTACTTATTTTAAATTATTATCAAATTCGGATATAAATCAAGAATAAGACTCGATGCCGTACACACCAAAGTTATATAGAGGAATTACTTCAAGCTTTATTTTTTTCCCAAGTATTTGTAATCCATCCAAAACATACTTGGGTTTTTTTTGTTAATGTGAAGACAATATTTCTATATTTCTTGATGTGCTCCATTGAATGACTAGTTATCATATTGTTCCCATAGACAAAATGACTGCAACCTTATAATTTTACCATGAACCAAATTTATGTAATTTAAATAATACTTATCCATGCCTGTACAATTGGTGTGCCCTACACAGGTAGGAAAAAATGTATTTTATTAAATTACTATTATTAAATATGTTTACTAATCGTATATGTAATTTATCATATTGATGATGCCTGTAAACTGGCGTCCCTCATGTACAAAATGAGAATATACTATTATTTATTATTTATTCATTAATTAACAGGCAACTCATCGTTACTTACTTTTTTGTCTGCTTCCATGGTGCCACATCCCTTTCTTGACCCAGGCATTATCCAACGTCACCAAAGAATCCAAATTGCGTTGATAATCCTTATCCAAAGAGAAGCTGGCTGCAGATCTAGTAAGTACACCCAGAAGAAGTCCAGAAGGCGCTCCAAAAAACGACCAACTGAATAAAAACTGCCCCAGATGGCAATCCAGAAGATGAACAGAAGAATAAAAACTGTCGAGGAACTTAGCCCTAAGTTCCTATCGTAATGAAGAAGCGATTGAGCCGATAAATACTATGTGCGTTCTTCAACTTTAAATCCAAAACACCAGTATTCCTTGAACGAAATTATATTGTTTGGCAATTAAAGTGAAGAAAACTACAAAGTCTACAAACAAATGTTAAGTATAAATGAAGTTATAAAGTACTTTTATTCGTATTTAACTCCAGTCTTCCTTCGACTTGCAAGCGATCGACCATTCGCGCCTTTCAGTTGCCCATTAATGGCTGCCAGACCCAATAAAACAAACGTTCAATGTTCACGTCCGTTGACAGACCTTTTGTTGGAATCATACTGCGAAAAATGGGAAATCGAATAGTGAAGATATCAGACATCGAAGATAATTCAGTTCACAACAGACACCTGGATCAAGTGAAAATAAATAAAGCAAGTCATTCCGATTATGTTTTTAATGATTCCGTTACTAATTCGAATTTTGTAGACAATTCAGAAATAAGTCCAGAGGATACTGATGAAAATAATATCACATATTCAATTAGAAGATCGTGGCGACATGCTAACAAACCAAACCTTATAAATACGCAAGGAGACATTCAATATGTGGTGGATGTGATGACTGACAATTGCTATTACTGTATTGTTTAAATACCTACTGTTGTCTGTTTATGTCTATTATATGCATTACAAATAATTCCGCCAAATACAAATTCTCAAATTCATCCATCTAAGTGTTGTTGGATGATTTCCTGTAATTCAGTCATTGCGAAATACTACTATGACAAATAATTATAACTACAATTTATATAATTTTCAGCGGAATGTTACAGAATGTTTTTCCCCCACTACAACCACTGTAGGAGTAATGCTCTGAAGATTTGGACTCATTGCCTTCGATCAAAATCCGAAAGAAAACCAAACTGTTCCGAATAGACTGGACCAGATTTGAAACCAAACCTAATGGTTTCAAATATAATCATTTTGATAACGGACAGTTAAAACCCGCAAAACTACTTTCCTTAAAATATTAAGGTATCTGGTGCCCAAATGCCAACAGCACACTGGTCGAAAACAAAGCGGCTCGCAGTTAACAAAAGTGTGCATTCAAACAAAAAGGGAACCACAAGTGGTCTAATTAAAGCAAAATGCAAAATGGTATACAACTTTCAGCTTTGACGTTTGGAGGTTCAGTACTATACGTAACAATCCCTCAAAAAGAAATTTAGTTTCTGTTCCTAACAACCAACAAAATAATATATTCACTTCATTAAGGGAAATGATTGCACAGTGCACTCCCACTAAACTCCTAACACAGAAAATGAGAAGAAATTCACTAACAAACCTTATACACCGCCCACACCTACGCAGGCAACCCGTGCAGAACACACGAGCAAACAACGCTTAATACTCACACCCTATCCTTGATTACCGGGACTTACACCAGTATGTCTGGCGACACCCCAATCTAGCTACTTATTTTCGGTATCTAGGACTTACACCCATGAACCTAGGTACCGCCCTGACGAGCCCTATTATCGCCGGTTACTAAAACACAGACCTTCCCAGTATCCCCTACCAGTACTCCCTCAGCCGTCTTCGCCTCCACTTCCCCAACTAAACCATCGTAAATATGCAGCACCCGTTGCACCAGCTTCAAAGACCATTGATTCCTACTAGTAAAGTCTGACACTATGATGCAGGTCTCCAGCCTACACGTTCGCACTTGTTACCATCCATTTGTGCCGTTCTTGTAACAAGGAGACGTATTCCTCAAAGCGACTTTTCCACAACACATCTGCTAAACAGTTGGCTTGTCTCCACCTTCTGGAGAACTTATCACTAAGATGAGTTACACTAATACTTCACGAGTTGTCTCTTAGTAATGGTAGTCTAGCAGGTGTTACCACTTAGAAGTCTTTGGTGCCCGAAGTGAAATGAACCAGAAGTCTCCCAACTATAATGTGTTCAGCTGCTGTCAACAAAATCACAAGGCTTTCATCAGTCAGCAGTTGTTCATTAGTCAGTCCACCCGAGATCCCAAGTACAGTACGAATCTTGCGTCCTCAAACAGCTTCCATATGGTTTGCAGCCAGTGGGTTGGAGTGTCAGTCTATACCTCTACTCACTGAAGTACTATGTATTCCTTCTTGTTTCAAATTTCTTAAGCACCTATCTAGTTCTCTTTTCGTCCCTAATAAATCGGTCCCATTGTCACTAAACATATCCTCGGGAAACCCTCCCCCACCAATAGACCTCATCAGCGCCATTATAATGGAGTCTGTGGGGAAATCGTGGTCAACCTTTAGACGTACAACCCGTAATTTGAGATACATGAAAATATAACCTCATTGACTTACATGTCTTCTACCTAGCGTCACCGCCATCGGCTCGAAATAGTCGCCACCTACCGCAGACAGGTGAAGTTGTTCATCCCAACTCAAGTCGTCGACATGGGTGCCGTCAGCTGACACTCTGACCTAGCATTTCCCTTCTGCACTGCACACAACCTCTGGTGACCTCTCTCACAGCTGCACCTCGTGATATCTGGAACCTTACTCTGGTAGTCGACAGTACCTGTGCAAAACTTACATGCCCTTCTATGTTGTGTTAGTGTCTTGGAATCAAATCCGTGATATGATTTTAGGAGGACAGTATCACTGGGCGTTTCCAGCTATTGGGCCAAGACGAGTTTCGTAACCGACCGCCATTTAGTAAGATGGGATGAAAGTTGTGCAGAGATGAGTTGAACGTTCGCACTGTCTAATTACCAGACGTCACCTACAACTCTTTTGGAGTTGAGCGCACCGTATTGTCCCTCTTTAGGTAGTTTGGGTAGTGATACTATGGGCTGTTATTTAGACACCACCATATCTGAGAAAGCTTGGAGCAGATAGGTCAAGTTTTTGATGTCATCCATCACACAGTCTTCATTTATTAAGACCCTGTGTGGATTTCCTGGTCTCTTAGTTTCAACTTCATGCTATTAGAAATTATTTCTCGGCAAACCATGGATTTCTGTTAGGTACTTTCAAGCTGCTTTATGAATCATCCCTTTCAGACTCAAAATAAAGAAGGTATGGTCATTCGCTCTTGGAGTCAAATAACAGCTGTCAGGAGAACCATAGTATTAATAAGACTGACATGACGTTCTTTGCCAGACAGCAGTTCATGCATGAAGCAAAAATAAGGATAACAGGCTGAAGTAGACTAGGAAACCTCCTAGTTAGGCTGCTTGAAGGACTTCACCCTCGCATCAGGCCGACTTCAGCCAGCAGTAACGCTAATGATTATTGCATGACTATCCATCCCTCTAGACCTGAACTTCGTAGTATCTGCTGACTCTCTAGCCTGGTCCACCTAACCTGGTCATAAAGCAGTTCTTGACGCTATTCCACCTATTAAAGGTAGAATAAAACGGTTACGGCTGCCAAGAGGTATATTTATCAATGACAACGACAGCACAGATGCCGCGTCCTTGTTACTTGAAAATCTGATTGTCCACAGTTTGTTTCAGTCCACACAGATGGATAAATTGGCCATTGAAGGTTCAACTGATTTGACGAAAATCTTTGATCTACTACCGTAGTACAGAAGAGGGTAACCAAAACGAAACCACAGCCTAATGCGACATGTCACTGTATGTTTACTTTATGTCCCATTATATTTATGATTTGTTCCTTTTCTGCAGTTTGTATTCGTTTTATTGTCTACCTGCCACATGATGCTATGGGCATTAGTGTGGTGACTCTTTTGTTCTTTTGTTTTTGCAAAGTTAATGAGTAAATAGTCAAGGTGAATGGGGAGCTTCTTAAGGGTCGCTTGGTTGACTAATGTTATCATTTCTTGTGAGAAAGGGGGCGACTCTGGTTATTATATTGTCACAAGCTCACAAGCAGAAGCGCAACAGACAGAGTGATGCTTTATGGATGTCGAAAATATACCAAGAGCTAGTGGAGGTTTCATGAAAGTGTCAGAAATGTCAGATGTATAAGCTGAAACTGATCAGTAAATATTACTGTACAACACTGTGAAATTTATCAAAATAAAATCTTATCCATAATGGAGTCGTGAGTGGGTTTTCAAAACCACATTGTTTGCCTGCGGTGTCGTCATTTATACGGATATGTTAAAAAATTAAATAGTTTATGAAGGAGAGAGATAGAAAGTAAACTCACGTACCATGTTTTTCACTTCATGGTCATGACTAAAATACTTCAATTGAGCATTGAAAGTAGTGGAGGCCATTGGAGTTGTCGCTACTAAAATATGTTGGCGCGATATCTTGGTAAGTCGCAGACATTCTGGTTAGAATGTTATAGTTTCGCGTCTTCCATGTAGGCTTGGAGGCTGCACCGGCAACTTCCACACTGGTTTGAGTTTGTGTGTCGCGCCACCCGCTGCTGAAAAGCACATACAGCCTGTAGTTGATCATCTTGTCAAGGCTGAGTCAGCGGCAAATAAATATGAACAAGTACAAATTCTCCATAAAATTTTCTATTAACAGGATGTTGAAAATTCTGTCTCCAGGTGGGAAAAGTCCCACGAAATATATTATGGCAAGGAACGTGATTTTAAGAATTTTCCTACAATCAAGTTTGCTGAGACTTCACCCAAAATTAGAATGGGTGTTTTCCCTGATTATTGGTTTCAACCATTTTACAATAAGACTGGTGTAACAGGTAACCTTTGTTATTAGTCCTCTCACCTCATAGGTCCATACATGTTTATGTTTGGGTCTTTTATGTTTTTGATTAACAAGGAAATATGGGTGTTTGATCCTCACTTTCTGGAGTTTACGACATTCGTAATAATGTCTACAGTGTTCGTTAAGTTATTCGGACCTCGTGCTAAGAAGTTCATGGAGGATCTTGTTGAAGTAGGTTTTCTGGAATTTGTATTCGACTTTTCGTAGAAAGATGAGCAAGAGTTGTATTACAATCCAATCAACGAAGTAAAGGGTTATTTGGACAATACAATAAAGACATCAGAGGTGGAAATGAGCAGAGCGACAGCTGTTTCTGAACACGTGAAGGCAAAAGAAGAAAATATAGCGTTACAACTGGAAGCTGCCTACCGTGAACGCCTTCAAAACGTATATCGAACAGTCCACCGTCGCTTGGTAGGTTTTGAAACCAAAGTTTACTCTATATTAGTGGTTTTTGTTGTGTTGAAGAGTCAAATTCACAGGTGGCATTTAGGATTTTACCTTATTTACAAATGATAAGAGTAACAATCGGTGTGGAAACACTGTATGAGCTAATACTCTATCTCAAGTATGCCGGCAAAGCCTTGAGCCTAGCTCAGTTTGACACTTAGTTGCAGTAGCAGATGATACTGATTTGCTTGCAACCATCTGTATAGGATATTGGTGAATTCAAACGTAGGAAAAACTTAACACACCAATAAATTACTGACTAGACAAAAGACGCCGCTCCTAAGTATGCACTCTTGCTATGTTACTTATTTAATTTGAACTGTAGCCTAATAGTACGTGATCATGAATTGATAGTGATACGGTGAAGTTGAACTTCGATTGTAGTGCGACTGTAACATCAACTGATGTACACACTAATGCTACTTAATCAACCACCAGGTGCATGTGAAAAGTATCTCCTGAAGGTTATATAAAGTACTTCGATGGGCCATTTTTTCTACTGGTTTGTACGATAGAGAATGCCTGAGTGACAAGGTTTTCTAGGTATCTGATTGAGTCTACTTGTTTTATTTGCATTAGTGTAATAACGTTGTGGTGGCAAGTGTAGACAAAATACGCAGTGTTTAAGTGACCATGCAGATATCACTCTGAAGGACAGCAACTAGTTGGCGACTTGAAACGATACAGACCGACATTAAAAATGTCCGGTTTGCGTTATCTAGGTGGAGTTCTGGCCAATTGGCTTAAGTACTCGATTTTCAGTTGACGAGTCACTTATTCGAATTTCACCACACCTGCTTCAGCTTGAGCGTCTGAGTGGTATCGCTAGCCGCCACACAAGTGTGGCTTTTGACCTGGTACGTGGAAATCCTGTTATGGGTGATCGAATTTAGTTTCTTGTCGCTTTTCTTTCTACAAATTTTTGCAGTTTGTATTGACTACTTATAAATATGTACACACTTTTTACATTACTGTAAAGTCATAATATTTGATTTTCTTCTGTGTATTACTTGTATGTAGGATTATCATGTTGAACGTGAAAATACGCGAAAGCGTTATATTCAACATCATATGGTGAACTGGGTTGTAGACCATGTGGTCAAAGGAATAACGCCTACTCAAGAGAAGGAAACTCTTGCTCACTGTATCAATGAGTTAAAACGACTAGCACAAACATCTAAAGTTATAGCCACCGCATAATAGCTATCCAAAAACAACAGTAATGAATATTCACAGATGTCAGTGGTGTTGAAATAGCTTATTACAAATACATATATGTTAGTAGTATATTTAAAAAAATTTTGTTTTACGTTAATTGCAAACTATTTTTTTATGCAAATGGATGTACTTAGTCCTAAACAAGTTATAATAGAAGTTTTATATGTGTTAGTTTGTTTACTCGGGGTTATTTTGACCCTAAGACAGGCATTCAGGCGTACCATTTTTAACTTAATGTAATCACTTTAAATCTTGAAGAATAAAAAAATGTTAATCTTAGGTACATCATCACGATTCCTTTGGTCGAGTCCAAGAGATAATCAGTGGCTTGAGGTGTTATCAGTTATAGCTAAAAATCGTAATCATTGGCGAACATGCTGCAGTCTTCTTCTTTCTTCCCTTTTCTGAAAGTAACATAAAGTGAACACTCTTTGTATGTTTGCTTATTGGCTTTCTGCGTGACCTCCATTTATTCTATCCGACAAATTTACTAACCAACACGGAAATGAGTTACCGTTTAGATGAAGTCATATTTTACCTCTTTTGGTGATTCTCAACAAATTGAACTGATAAATTAATTTTCTACCCTTAAAAGCTCTTACAGAGAACACAGTACCCTTGGTTTGGGCTTTGAAGATTAATGAAACTGTTTAGAATATCTTTTCAGTTTTTAGATGCAATGAGGAGGAGAGGGAAACAACTTGAATAACTTTTTTATTCTTTAACATTCCCAGTGGAACATAGGGCTTCAAGCTAGAGGCTTGGAGTTTCGGTAGCAGTGGTGTTTATTTTTACGGGATGGGGTTGCTAGCCTGATGCCCAAACTTCTCTCTTTACCAGTCTTATTACTAGCTTAGCTAGGTAAAGGAGTGCGTCGGCCTGGGATCGAACCCCGGACCACATGCGTGGTCGGCGAGCATTCTACCGCTGTACCACCGAATGACTACTTTTCCAAAAACTGGTTACTCGTTCACAGTGACGAAGACGCCTATCGCAGCATTGTGTAGATCATTGAGTCTGTGGAGTTCATTTCCATTAGGCCACATTTTATGCTTAACTGTCCCGCAGGGTAAAGAGTGTGAAACGATTTTTGATCTAGGAACATGTAATTCGGAGATTAAGTACTTAAGCCGTTCCAGAAGGTCCCCAACACCTGCTCTGTTTGAAGATGGTGCTGAGACTCCAGTCGGACAACTGACTGGATTGTTCAGGAAATTATACAAAAATAAGAATGTCCCACTGATGTGTAGAGTGAAGCTATTATTGTGCCTATCTTTATAAGAATCTACGTGTAATGCATATGACAGTCATAGGGGTATTAGTTTGTCACCAGTTGTGTGTAAAACTGGCTGCTGTGTAATACGAGTGAGAGATTGGTTCACGAAGAACAATCTGGGTTCCGTTCGGATCGTGTATTCATTGGTCAAATGTTCTCTCTTCATCTGTCGTTAGAATCCTCTCATTCGTATTACAGGGCCAAGGGTGCTTTCGTTCCATTGGACAGGCCAAGTTAAACTTTAAGCACCACTGACTACCAATGGAGTGCGACTGCGACAATGACCTTGAAACGCTCACTGAGCAAGTCAGTGAAACCTGGCAAATAATGTCATCACCAATAAAATATGCTCATCAAAGTGTTATGCTATTAAATGGGATTTCTGGCTAGTTTCAGCTTAGGTTTGGGAAAGATTAAGTTACCCCTTAAGGCAAGAACAAGTTAGGGTCAGGTTAACCTAATAAGGGCGACATTAGAGTTGGTTCGAGTTAGATTACAGTTTATTTAGGGGTAATTTCATGTTGGGGTTAGGTTCAGGAAAGATTAGGGTCATTGTTAGGTTTAGAAGACCTTAATAGTTACATGCATAGAATGTGGTTAAATTACTCTGTTGATATAAGAATAGAACTTGTGCACTGTGGTAGATTATAATTCCATTGTGGGTAAAATTTATTTTGATTAATTCTCATAGTGTTATACAGTAATATTTCCTGATGACGTTTTGAGCACCATCTATTGTTCAGGAAATATTACTGTGTTACACTATGAGGCTTTATCAAAATAAATTTCACCCACAATGGAATTATACTCTGTTGATACTCCAACCTAAAACAGAGCTATTTTTATCACGTGTGAGAGAAAGGTATCCTCTAACACTTTTCTACAGTTTTTATGCATTTTTTCATAAATATATGTATTCCATGCACAAAAATGCCTCCTTCACGTGATTGGTGCGTTCGGGGTCATTCGCTGATTGGTAGTTAGTGGTGCTTAAAGTTTAACTCTACCATTGGACAGAAGTATTCTTTGGAATCGTCTATTGGGGAGAAGTTTGTTAACATCAGGTAGAATGAAGGTATATAACCAGCTATCACCTATGTTCTTAGCCGACGGTGAGATTAGCAGGGTCGTTTTTAACGTTGCCACTGATGACTGTCAGCATAGGTCATCTCGGGAGCTGTCGCGACGTTAGTCTTTCCGTCAAAGATTAGACTCTTCGGTACTCGTAGTCTTGCGAGTCCACACTTGTGAAACCTGGCCTCTGTTGGGCTACGAATGCGTAGCTACTTCGTGTACTCGACCATTGTTGTTTCCGGATAATGATTTGCATCTGGTAATATCGTCATGTAAGTAATTCTGGAGTTCGGTGTTGTGTTTCGACATGGTGAATTTCGTCTATCAGTGAGTGTTGTCATCTTGGAACACTGGCTTTAGCAGCTTAGGCATGTAATAGAAATGTTATCCCAGCGGCTCTTATACTGTCCACTACTTGCTAGCACTGGGTCTGGATGGAGAATGTGGCGCTATGGAATGAAGGATAGCTCGCGCATCATGACTCCCTGGGTGGGATCTGCTAGACGATCCCAATCAGCGGCTACCAGATATGGTAGACAACAGTAATCAATGGCTAACATACTGCAACTTCTCTTTCTGGAAGTAACTTGAAGTGATGAACCCATTTTAATTGCTCTTGATAAGTGCTCCTATCAGGCTTTATCTCTTTCCCCAATTATTCTACCTCTTCTCTATTTATGTGTTTCGTCGCCTTTGCGTAACGCATCCCTTGACACCAAGTTTATATTTGAATAAATAAATAATGAAAAGCTTAGGTCACTGAATAGATATAATTCTACATATGTGTGTGACTTGTATGGATGTGTTTTTCTACAATAAATGAGATGAAGTGTGTACACTAATGTGTGGGTTGACTACACTGATCGACCGACTTATGCATTTGCATGGAATCGCGTCACTTCGGGAAAGTACAAAAGGTATCAGAAATGTCAATGACACTGCAACAGACAAACATGAATGAAACGAAAAAAATATTTCAATGAAGATTATTGAGAATATCTAGAATAACAAGTGGCTGTAGCGCCTGCTACATTGTGAACGGTTTCCAGACATGCCACAGAGAATTTCCAACCACTGGTTTTTAGCGTCTCGACGATGACCTAATCTCAAACCAACAGCAGACATTGACTTCATGTATTGGGATCAGATTCTCTTTTCTAAGCTAATCATAGTTCAGATGACATTCCTTCCATATTGGGGAAGGTAGTATTTTGGGATTACTATTCACTCCTTGCATTCCGAGTGGGACGTAGGGCTACAGCGGCATATTTCCGTTGTACTCACTTCTCTGCCATCCTTTTCATCTAGCCCCATGACTGCCCACAAAGTTTCATTTCCTTGCTACATGATCTCCTTCATGTCACACTGACTTACACCCATCTGGTTGCTCCCCATGCGGGTTACATTCGAGGGTGTTGAGTAGTGCTGAAGCAGTTGCTAAATTATCTGACTGTTGACTGTGTTGAAGGCCTTCTCAAAGGTGAAATACGGAGCTGGCTGCCATTGCAGGCTTTGCTCAATGTTGTCTTTCTAGTACGATGCGACTTAATACTTTACTTCGGGTGGATAGGAGCATTAGTTTCGTGAAGTTCTGGGATAGACTTTATTCACCTTTTATCTGGAAATTTGACAAGGTAAAGTTCCTTCCCTACCACATATTATTATTATGCAATATTAACATAAATATGTCCGTTGAGGCGTCTACGTTCCTGTTCAGGGCTTCCGGAGGAATTTCACTTAGTCCTGCTTTGTCATGAATACCATGACCATAGTGTTCGACAAACGAAGTTATTTCACCGAGTAAAATCGTGTAGTTCTTATAAAGAAAGAACGAATATATTTGCAGGATAATATGAGTTCGTTTTATTTCATGGATTCTCCTCAACTGCGTACGTCCTAAATAAATCAATTATGTTCATAATCTGAGTAGAATTCACTTGAAAATGAATGAGAGTTAGGTTAATAAGCTGAGTAGAATGCACTTGAAAATAAATGAGAGTTAAGTTGATAAGCTGAGTAGAACTCACTTAGAAATAAACGAAAATGGAGTTAGCAACAGTCGTCATGAGGGTAGAGATTTAATAGAGGGTGGGGGTAGAAAATAATGCAATTAAGAAACAGACAAACAAAGAAGAAAGAGGTAAGACAAAATTACGTATTTGGTGTTGAGATAGATCAGGACCATTGTAGATTTAGTGACTGAACAAACTTCTTTTGTATGCAGAGTTCAGGATTCAATATGTGAATTGCCATTGCTTCTGCAGTTTGAAGAAGTTTAATTCGTACTCTTTTGGCAAGATTCCCACGTATTGTGTAGATAACTGAGAAGTTGTTTTGTGGGTTTGCTTGGTGTCCGGATTCGATCAAGTGTTCTAGGATAGAGCTGTGGCGGGGTGATCTTCTTTCTCCTTTATAAAACCATGAAGGTAAGTGTTCGCTGATTCGTTTGGACAGCAAACGCTGGGTACGGCCGACATACCTAGCTCCACATGAGCAGGTGAATTGGTAGATGCACACTCATGAGGCCCCCAGTGGAAGCTTGTCCTTCACGTTCGTGCGAATCATTGGTTTCGTAGAGAAAGTTAGTCTGAGTTCAGCTGCGAAGGTTTTCTTCAGTGAACGGCACAGGCGGTTTCTCAGTATTTCTGCTGAAGAATCTCCGTTGAATTGTAGATTCAAATAGAGAAGTTTCTTGGGAGCAGTAAGCATAGACGGTTTTTGTGTTTTGGGCTTCATGGCTTTTGTGATGAAACGTTCCGGGTAACCGTTTTCAAGGAGGATTCTTTTCAGGGTCTTCAGCTCCTCTTCTATAGTTTCCTATATTTTGCAAAATTTCTAAACATACTTTTTACAATGATTCCAAGTTATAGACGGAAAGTATAGGCGACATAATTTCAAAGATGATGTAAGTAGACAATTATTTAGTGTTAAAAGAGTAACTATTTACATAGTAATTGGACGAAGGGGTGGAGTTCTGATTTCTCTTGGAAACAAGGATGGACTATAGACAAAATACAAGATAGAACAACAAATTATGGTGGAGAATTCAGGAGGGTGGGGGTAAATGGTGAAGAAAAATGATAAACTAGATAAAATAATTTAATTTACTAGATTTGAAACCGTAATAGTGAGTGAAAATCAAAAGCAAGATTGAGTGGAATATTAACCAACAGAACAAAAGCATATGAAAAAAAAACAATTGCGATTACCGGGGTAGTGAGAAATTAGTCACACTCTCTTTCTGTATCCATAGGTTGGGTCGAAGTATTTTGAAGGCAATGGCTTCGGCGAATCGAAGTAACCATGCTTTTCTTTGTATATTGATTATTTTGAAAGCTTAACTAATTTCTGCTGTATGTCCTGTGGCAAAATTCTGTAGTCTAAAGCATTCTTCATAGAGTAATTCTGTGGGGTTTATGTACTACCCGTCTTTCAAATCTCTCGTCGCTCTGTAGTCATTTATTCAGATTCCCCTACTCATACTGAGAAATCCATCTGAATTTAACACTGTTAACCCCTATCAAAAACATCTATACATCTCAAGAGTGATCTCGAACCACTGAAAACCAATAGGGAGAGAGCCTTCGTCAGTATGCACACATCACCCCGTTGGGACGGAATCCAATGGCCCATCAATTCTAATTTCTTTTAATTCGGGTTGTATAGACTTACAGCTAGCCAATGTCATCAACGAGTATGTGTCTTCACATCAAACGTGCTGGGTCAAGACTTCTCACTAGAATAACTTCATCCTATAGTCAGTCACTAGTGAGTACTGGGACTACTTCTCCTGTGCGTTAGTTTGCAGAGGGATTTGATTGATTCGAAAATTGATGTATGTGTGCAACTGACGAATTCTGGGTGGACAGGAACTCCCACACTGTTAACTACCAACATAAACATCTTTACATAAGCATATTTATTATTATTACTTCGACGTTTTAATTTTAATTGAAAGAGACGGAATAGTTTTCTGTTTCTTCTTTATTCTATAATATTATAATACAAAGAAAACTGAACAAACAAGTCGTCAAACCAACAAACTATAACATTCATATGATATGAGGTTAATAGTAATAATAATATTATTAATAGTGACATGTCAAATGAATATCATAGAATAAGTAGGTAGATAAGGCAGGATAGTAGTCTTATTTCGTCCTCTTCCTGTTGCTTGTTATTATAACCTTATACCTCCTTTCCTCTCCTCTCTTCTCACTTAAAAAATAAATGTGTATGTAACTTTGACTATAAAATATCATAACATGATTGTGTTTATTTTCCACTTAAAACTGTTAGTTCACTTGATTTTGCTCCAGAAAGAGAGTATGTGTGTTCATGTACGTGTGCATGTGTGCGTGCCTGTGTATATAGGAGAGGTGAACACGCTTGTGTAATGTCTACACACACCCATATAAATATACGACAAAGTAAAAACTGTTCCTCTTTCTCTAAACAGTCAACAACAGTAACAATAAATAATAAATGAAGATATCGTCGGTCAAGTGAATATGAGAGATAGCATCGACTACATATACATACATAAACACGCCACATAAATTAACAACAGTAAAGATGAATGGAGGTCAATAGAAAAACACAAAACAATATGTAGTACAACACTATAAAAAGTTGAAACAGCAAAAGAGATGGTAGCTGCAATTTAGGAAAAAGACACAAAGAAACATTTCTCCTGTTCATTCCCTTTCATCTGTCTCTGATTAGAGAGAATGAAGAGACCTACTAACTGACTAACGATACAATGAGAACACCACTCACAGGAATAATAAAGTTGATAATGAAAAGGAAGAGTCACCGCAAAAGGTTTATACGTATGCAAATCACCAATATGCCCACGGATATGACAAGTACTCATGCATACATACGCGCATATCCACCCACGGGTTATCCATACGTGAATGAGAGAAGAAAAGTTAACAAAATAACACGGAAGAAAGAAATAATTGTATCGTAGAAACTTACACAACACTATGACAATATATATATATATAATTTCGGTGCATTATGTAATGAAAAAAAATGAAGGGATAAACTAACACGGAACCAAAAACGGGATAAATATTAGCGTACAATTGAAATGGTAGTAGTAACAGTACATTGTTAATAGTTTCTTTGTGGTTTTGATTTACTGCTGCAGAAAGGTTAAAATAATACTCAGAGATAACAACAACGAATAGAGAAAACAAAAATAGTAGTTGAAATGTTGATGAACACACAAATAAATACATAAATGTCTATCAATTTTTAGCAGCCAGACGAAGTAGAATTCGATTCGATAAATAAATAAATGAGAAAGACAAGTTTCGTTCTTACGTTTTTTATGCACTGTGTGAATAAGGGACAAGAGTGAACAAAACAGTAAACACATACTTGTACAGACTCCATACCCCACATATATCATACAATTTTTCTACAACGCACCACATTACTATTCTTATTAGCAAAACAGATGAGAATGAACTAAGGGAACCAGAAGATCACTTGAATATGTATATTTATGCGCATATATATGTCACGTATGCACGCTTACAGACAACTTTTGATAAGTGTGTTTATTATGTTGTGTGTAGGGGTAGAATATGACTGACACTTTTGTTTGTTTATTTCTCTCTCAAAATAATTAGACGAATAAACGGAAAACAAAACAAAGAGTTCAATAATAATGATAATATCAGAGAGGAAAACGATAAACTGTGATGACTAAAATGATGAACAACAGTAACTGTACATTATACAAATATGTAGATATATACTGACCACATAAAGCGATAAACAGTATTTCATATGATTTAAGTTATGGGCAATGCTCATGATAATCATTTGAGAATAAACAAAAAAGGATATACACAAAATAAACTATTCATAATAGGGCATTAATTAGTCATAACTGTGACAGCAATCATGTGAACAATGCCGTTTCGCTGTATCATGATAATGATGGCCATGATGATGAGAGTGGTGATGATGATAATGATGGGCGTGGTGATGATGATGGTGGTGGTGACTAGCGTGATTACATTTCATACCATTTAGTAGGGATGTTTGACTACTAGAACCAACTGTCGCCTCTGTAGAACCATCTGCTGAGCTTATTGATGATGCACGTCCAGAGATTGATCCACCTGAAGCTGATGCAGCAGTATGTATAGTACGACTACGAAGTCGTAACTCTTGTTGTACAGCCATATGCATTTCACGTGAATCAAAATTTACAGCTTGACTATTTCTGTAAATAATACATGAGAATAATGAAATGAAAACGCGATATAAATTTAGTGGAGAATTTTATACTACTGAATCCCCTGTTTAAAGTATTTCGAGAGTGAAAAGAGTAAGAAATAGGGGTTTTATTTTATTATAGCTTGATTCCACACAGTATCTCGGTACGAGTATGGAACTTTTAGCATGTGTTATCGGTAGCCCAAATTTAGCAGGCCGACCATTGATATCAAGTGTGCATCAGCCGGGGGTCGAACCCCAGATCATGTGCATGGTCGGCGAGCGTCCTGACAGCTGTGCCACCGACGCACCATTAAGATTTTCACGTCTAACTGTTTTTATATTCATTGTTATAAGCTTTTCAAAAAATATACAAACATTATCAGATATTTACTTTCAAAGAAAAACACCGAGAAAAATGACCAGCAACAAGGGACTCTAACCCGCAGCGAACCACAATCAAGGATTCTTGATTTACATATCTCTCAGAAAATATGCAGAAGAAAATGAAGATGGACTGGATACATATTGAGTAGGGAGACGGTTCAGTGATGTCACACACCCGGTACACCGTCAAGTGGGCCCTGAAATGGAAGAAACGAGCTCGGCATGGATCCCACGGGTGACATTGTGTGAAGTCGAGGAAATGTAAGCTTGTGGGTAACCGTAGCGCCTGTTTAAAAATTTTTGAAAGAAAAGTGAAACAAAGATCTAACGTTAAGGTCAAATGTTTTACTCGGAACCTAAAGGAATAATAATATGAGGACGAGGGGAGGAGATAATCGAACTGTCCCTGTGTACCTTTTGTACAATAAAACTAAAAAAATTAGAAGAATCTTAATAAGTTATTATTCATTTAAACACAAACCTAATACACATTATGGGCACAACCAGTTGCATCACACAAGTGAAATTGTTCTCTGATGACTTGTGTGGGGGCTGAAACAGTGACCGGACTCTAAGACCAAAAAGTAGTCAACTCCTCACACCTTTGACATGAAGTCCAAACCATAAGACAGGGAGTGGCGTCGGGAGCTACATTCCCACAGTTCCCAGTGATCAAAACAAGTCCATACGCCATTCCATTCTTTCTGATTTTGGGGGCATGTACATTATAGTTTTGGAATCAGGGTTTTCCAACTCCCTTAGGTACACCTGTATTTCTATATGTCCAAACCAAGTTCACTTTTAACAGTTTGAAAAAATTTGGGCATTGGGTATATGATATTCATTATTCAGTATAATACTTTGATAAAGCTATTAGCATTAAATAGCGAAACGTCAGTAAAAGCAATATTGTTTTGTTTTTTCATTCATTGGGAAATACAAAAACTTTTAATATAATGAACACCTGTATTTCCATCAGTCCAGTTGTAAGGGGCTGATATTCACATTTACCTTTTTATTTTTGTGAGGAAGATAGGACTTACCTGGCAAAGGCTACGAACAACATATAGGGATTTGAACTGTGAAATGATCTCCAGTTATCAAAGAAAATTTAAAGCGGCTATAATAAACAAAGGAGATGAAAAAAAGAGCATCTCCATAGGACTAAACTACTGAAAGTAGAGGAACAAAGCAATAAATTGCGTCTGTAGAAAAAGGAGGGTAAGAAAATATGGGAAAATGACAGATGATACAGAAAAATTAGTTTCTCGCTTTGAACTGTCACTCAAGTTAAATATCATCATCATCAATTATTGAAACTGTTGTTGCCTTCAAAAGATGAATGATGACGCAAAGGTGTGTATGTATGTGTGTGTGTGTGCATAGAGGAATTTGTAGTCACTTACAATATATTATATAATATATATATATATATATATATATAATTCACACCAGAAGATTTTTCACAAGAAGGAAGATTTTTGAATGCAAGGAGAATTGCAGTAACGGGAGACAATAAGAGGAGAACGCAATATATATATATATATATATATATATATATATATATATATCATTTCATATGAATTCTAATCAAAGAAATGATTACTCAAAAACGATGTATATCACGTTTTAAAAAATTGTTAGGAGTTTTATATCTCTTCTGGGTGGTATAGTAAATTACAAACTAAATGGCTGAATGTAAATAAATGTCCAAAATAAGATATCAAAATCCTGGATTCCTATACGTTCAGTAATCCTTTTCAGGCGATGCAAAGTGTAGTTGCAGCTGATTTAAAACAAAACAACAACTTAGATTGTGTATTTCTGTGGGGATTTGGATTGGTTTCGGTGTAGATTTCATCACAAAGCAATATAATTTAGACAATTATTGGGAACCAGGAAGCACTAGACAGCGGTTTCGTCCTAGTTTGGCATCCATGACCCCTCTAAACATGGATCAAACCAAAGCTCCCTCGTTTCCAATATTGTCTAACTAAATGGTACGCGACAAAGTCAATATTGAGATAGGTTGATTATCAAAGAACCTTCACTAAAACACTAGACTCCCAGTCAGTAGATTTCAGTTTCAATTCCAACTCTGCATATTCCTCAGCAATTGGATAGTAATATCAACCCTAACAGTGACTCACTGAGTCAAAACATAGCAAACAAAATTAGAGAAAAGAAATTCAGAAGAACTATAACAGAGCGAAATGTACAGGAAACAGAATAGTGACATGGAAAAACATTAGGGTTTAATGGATATACGAGATCACAAAGAGTGAATGAGTCTATGACGTCGAGCCATTTTACAAACAGTCTCAAGTCATTGAATCTTAGCATTTTGAGGACTCTAATCAGGTAGTCCACACCTCCCTACGTGGCTGGCTCAAACCAAATGTCCCAGTCTCTATGGACTGGTGCTAGGTTTCGCTTTCACCATCCAATCATAACTCTTTTCCAACCTAATCCAATATCAGCTAACAATGTTTGTCGAGGAAGGCGGTGACATCCATCGATTTGCCTTCACAACCTTATCGATCAAATTACCATCCTCGCCTAAACACAAAATTACTCACCAAATTTATACTACTTAACACGAAGGACAGAACTTAAACATCTGTGATTGAAAACAGCTAGCCTCTTCATCAGATCTCCCACTTTCAATGGTCATGCTACACAGCTATAATGGATGATAGAGAAATTTTGCACAGTACACACTTCTTTTAATTGACAGCTGGATAACACATCAACGCCAGAAATGATATAATTTGGCAAGCGCCACACGAGCCTTTTGTATGGATGCTGAGACTTCGCCAGCAATCAGTCTATTAGGGTTGATGCAACTTTTCAAATAGGTGAAGTGATCAACACGCTCAACAATTTCATTCAGTATCTTTAGACTATGAGTCTATGTAGATCAGTCCTGAAGTCTGGACTGCCTGTGTGATTGGCGAAATACCTAAATCATTGTAATTTAAAACAACAGTTGCACTAAAATACGTAACATTAAAAATTTCAAACTTGAAATATTATCGAGAAGAAAAAAAGTAGTTAAAATTACCGTTCCATTATTTCACGTAATAATGAATCCACTTCAGGATTATGTGTCATTCTTACAGGAGGTAGAACAACTCTACGATTGTAACGTCGTGTAGGAATAGTTGATGGGGTTGGTGTTGTCGTTGTTGATGTTGCAGTGGTTATTGCACTTGTATTTGTTACTGATACATCTGATAGACTCATATCATTACAATCTATATCTACAGTTGAAGTAGACAGTTGTAATGGAGTAGAAGACACTGCAGTATTGTTATTGCTATTTACCATATATGTGGTACTTGGATTATTACAGTTCCCAGTATTACCATTCATAGATGAGGATGTATTCTTCTCACGGTTATTATTACTATTACCATTGCTAGTACAACCCGCTGTAACATTCATTTGACTAGTTTGTGGTGGCTGAGGATGTCGAAATTCAGTGACTCGTCGACATTGATACTGATGAGACTGTTGAACACCACCATTTCCTGATGTATCAGATGAAATATTTAAAGAATTATTTTGTTTTTTACTATTGTTACATGTATTATCTGAAAATTTATATTCATATGTACAGTATGGCGAAAGTGTACGAATATACCAATGCGCAGAAACATGACGTAAACCCGAACGATAAACAAAACAAAGGAGAAATAGAAATAGTGAAGAAAATGAGTAGAGAAATAACATTGAACAATTATCAAATAAACATATAAATATATATATATATATATATATATATTACATAAAAGATTTGAGCATACTTCTTACGCGATGACAAGGAGTAATTGATAGGGAAACTGTGAATAACATAGTTTCGGAATGATGTAAGTTGTTAAATTATTAGGAATTAAAAAGATTGTCTATTTATAGGATAAGATAGGACAAATATTCTCGAAAACAAAGGGCGGAGTCCAAAAGCTTTTGGGTAGAAACAAAGTTTAACTAGAAAGAGTATAAGCAACACAATAGGTTACACAACTACAGGAAATATGCTTTTATAGCATGGTGCACAAGAAGTAAGGTTTAGAAAATTTTATTGTTTTATCTGAACATCGTTCACCTCAATCAATATTTTGTTATTTTATAAAATCTATTTTTTGTTGTTACGTAATCTATTACATTGCTATACTCTTTCTGATTAAACTCTGTTTCTACTCTAAAATTTCTGAACTCTGTCTTTTAGTTTCCAAGAATATTTGTGTAACTGCTCTACAAACAGTCAACTCGTTTTATCTCTTAATAATTCAGCAGATTTATGTTACCTATAGTTTCTTCCAGTTATTCCATGTCACCGCGTAAGAAGTATGTTCGATTCTTTTAGGTAATCTGTAAATTTTTCATACTGCTCAGCTTATGTAATCAACTGAGAAAATTCCGCAAAATAATAGATGGTAATGAGGTTATATTATCAAGGAACACATTTATTGTTCTTGCTTTGTTCATATTTACTAATGGGAAGAATTCAATGACGTTTTCATACATTGATATAATCTCCACAGTGGACAACAGTGTCGCTCACGTTTACAAACAAATTCAGAGACACTGTACTCACATTAGTCTGACTCAAATCTTTATACCAGTACCACTGAGTAGTGTTAGTCATCTTTAATAATGTCTTTTGATTGCTCAATATCAGTCTGCAGTTTTCTTTCTGTAGTAGTGGAGGTCAAAATCCTATTCAATTTTGAAATATATATATATATATATATTCATCACTTGAAGCATTTCAAGTCCTAATCGAATCCTACGATCATAGTTTCATGAACACAACGCTTTAACTTAGTGTCAATTAAGTTATTCACAATGAGTTCAACTCCTGAACTTCACTCTTCATGCTGTGCAACTGGGTAAGTCATGACTTGTGACTAGTAAGTGACATCTGAGTGCGTTTTCAACATTAGATTGCTATTATTATTATTATTATTATTATTATTATTATTATTGTATAGCTACTGAGTGAAGTTTATGTAGGTTCAGCGCATCCCTTAGTGTTCAAGCACTTGCTAAATTAATTCATGGAGTATCACACTACTTGGTGTCGAAGGCTTTTTCAAAATGGATGATGAAGTTGAGGAAAAAGAGTTGACTACTGTTCATTCTATGACGATCTGTTCAATTCATAGAGAGAAAGAAAGTGGTCATCGAATTATCACTACAACTATCACTAATAAAAGTAATAGTAATAATAGTAATAACTTTGTCTCGAGTTACTACCAGTTAAATGAAACATTTTATATAGATAAGTATAATCAACTGCTTCTATTAAAATAATAATGGAATTTTAAGCGAAGAAAACAGCAAAAAAAGGTTAATAAGTAGGTAGGTAGGTAGGTAGGTAGGCGGATGGATAGGTAGGGAGGTAGGTGGAGAGAGAGAGAGAGAAAGAGGTGGGAAGAAATGAGAAGTATGCATGAACACTTACACAAATGAAAGCATGAATGAATAGTGAGTAAAAAGCAGGCAATTAGTGATGCTGATCGAGAGTGAGAAAGAGAAAATAACTTTTAGAAATTTTGTAGGAACTTTAGAAAACTGCATTACACCGAACATATTTCCAGGAAGAAAAACACCAGATTGCCAACAACACATATACATACACGCACACACATAGCCAGACATCATGATTTGTTAAACACACAACGGATAAAGAGGGGGGGATATGAAGCCAACAAGAGAGCAAACAAACAAATAAGTATGAAGACAAGTAAGCAAGGAGGCAAGCAAACTCAAATAGAATGAAATGGGCGTGAACTTACTGTCTGCCCATGGAGAGGGAATAGTTAAATGAGTGGTTATCATCCGAGAAAAACACTTTTTTTCCTTTCTTACGGAATGGATGCACACACACACACGCACACACAAACAGAGGATCATAGAAAGAAAATATAAGCATTATTTGAGGAGAAACAATCCTAGATAAGTATTTATAAGAAAGGAATAAGTCAGATTTTTATTTTCACGCTTAAATGGTCACTGTAATTAATGAGAATAATAATAAATTCCCGAAATAATTAAGTGATAAAACGATTGGGATACGAAAATAAGGTGAAATACTCAGTCATCACAGTTTAAAAGTTTTGATTTAAAGAGGACACTTCAGGACAACTAGTCTGATATATTTTTGTCTCATTCCTTTGCCATCCGAGTGGAACAAGCTTTGAGGTTTCATCAACTGGCGGTGTTTTATTTATACAAAGTGAGGATGCTAGCATTACGCCTAACCTAACCTCTTTGCCCAGACTAACTACAGGTTAGGCGAGGTTTAAGAGTGCATTAGCCGCATGAGTCATACCCGAACCAAGTGCATGATTGGAGACTATTCTAACCTTGAACTACCGACAAACAAGAATAGCGTTTCAAGCTTGCGCTCTGAAATATCGGTAATGGTGGTGTTGCAAGGTTCTGCAAGATTTGAAGAGGGCTGTATGCTATATGCATGCGACCGACCCTGATACTGTTAAGTAGATAATTCAAAGGATAGGTGCAACGCTAAACAAGTAAACCCTACCACACTTTCTTGAGGTTATAAGGCAGTCGAAGGTGAGAAAAATGAGGTGGAGTGGTTACCTAAATACGAATCAGTGATACGACTAGTCACGCATCCCCACACACAGTTGGTATATTTAACAGACTTATGGTGCACAACTCCATCTATTGACATTCTACACAGCTAATAAAGTTGCGTGATACATATCCAATCACAGGGTTACAAGAGATCATAGAGTTAGAAATGTTAAGATCCAAAAAGTTAAGTGGTATTCGAGTTGAGGGATACCATTCAACTGATAGTGTTCAGAATCAAAACGAAATGCAATTATCTTGGTATGTGTGTGTGCGCGCCACAAATCATCTACTTTGGAGTAAAGCCAGGACAGAATTATTCCGAAAGAACAGTGGATTGTATAACCAGACCAGGCCATATTAATAATCTCTGAAGTCATAAACTTTCTGTATGCTTTTTATTTATTTATTTAGAAATCCACGACGTTTATAGTGCTGTAGTGGAAAATGTGTATCGCTTAGGACGCTGGCATCTAATAGATGCTACGAGTTACAATACTTGGGATGTCTCCGATATCGTTTGATATATGTTACAATAATGTTTTCATCACTCTCTCTATTATCATTGTAGCTGTCTTTTCTTCATTTATGTTAATATTTTGTCATTTTTCTACTCTTTATTTCAGTGTTGCTTCGATGGGTTGATATATTGAGATTGGGGTGTCAAGAGACATAATTGGGGAAATAGTGTCTGGAACAGATTTTACATGTACCAGGCGAAGATTTACTCATTTATTGTATGAGGTCTGCTGATATAACTGAGACTACTGAATTGTTCAAGTTGGAGTTGCTGGAGGGGGACGCTAACCTGTAACTTATGGGGCTCAGAAGCGGAGTACTTAAACCAATGAGCTGCGGCTTCCACAAGGAAGATAAAGTAGTGTGACTATCACAGCAGCGACGATAAACGGTTACCAATGAAAAAAAAGAATTTGTCAGAGTGATAGTTGAACAGAGAGTTGTATGCGCTCCAAGTGTAAGTGAGATCTAGTAAATAGACTAGCATCACACAGCACTGACTTCATAACCTGTCAGAAACTTTAAATAGTGGCTTAAAACTGCTTAACACTCGACACTGCTACGATTAGTTTATTATTTTAATTCAATTCACTCAACTCAAAAACCAACTGCGTTTCTATTCAGTTAGAGATGAGCCACACCTATTATGTGAGGATTAATAATACTACCTAGCTGTCCAAACCACGGTAGGTAAGGCAGAGTTCGAACCTATGACCAAGCGATTGATAATGGAGCGCCTACATCACATAGCCACATTATTGTTAGAAATGTCTAACACTTTGAAAAACAAAGAGAAAATGAGTTTATTTTGAAGAGAAAAAAGACACACTTTCAAACAAAATATTATAAATAAATAAATAAATAAATAAAAAAGCCCAATAACTTACGTTTACCACTTGAACAATTATTATTATTATTATTCGTAGGACTAGCGATCGAAAGACTGGAAGAATTCGATACAAAACCACTTGTACTACCACTACACCCACTGATACTTCCACAACCACTTACACTTCCACTACAACCACAACAATTACTATTATTACAGTAACAACAACAACAGCAGGGGGCAATGGCAACAGTCGAGGATGGAGAGCAGCAACAACAAATGCCAGTTGCCGTTGTTGCATTGGTGCTGGGGTTGGCTTGACACTTTGATGAAGCAGATGACGAAGAGGAGGATGATAGACACAAAGCTGAACAACACGTATGCAAACTACCCCTACCAGCAGTACCACCATAATTCATACTATCGCATTCATTAGGCGTCAACGGTGTAACAACATTACTCGTCATTAGGATATCTGATGAATGATGATGATACAGTAGACAGTTGTTGTTCATACCTTTGTGGTCACGTGATGGTGTCGAAGACGACAATATACCTCCGGTAGTTTGAACGAAAACAGCAGCGGCCGCGGCTGCAGCACCTAAGGACGGGGGCAGAAAAAACATGTAAAATAATAAAACCATATACATGCCATTTATCTTGAAACGATCTACAATAATAATAATCTGTTCAAGTCTTGCTGTGAAAAGATTTGCTTAATTACAGGCTTGATCATAAGCTGACATCAGTTAGCGAACCATTGGAAAACATGGGAGTACCAATAAACTGCTTCTTTCTAGTATGGGACTCTTCAACATCATACACCAAATGGGGTTCGAAGCAGTACGTTCCAGTTACGAGGCAAGCTCGTAGACCAATCAGCCACTGGGACCCAAATCCAATGGGGCACGAATTCCAACTTCTGCAATCCGCGATACATAGCGCAACCACCAGCCAATGTCATGGGCAGTTAATTGTTCACTTACTTGACTCGGTGGACCCCACTGGCCATGGCTTCTCACTATAACTCCATGCAACTTTCTACATAAAGCCGATTGCTAGTAAGCATCAGATTAATTTTCAAATGTTGGTTTGCAGGAATCTCATCGGTTTGGTCACGAGTTGTCATCAGTTACGGAACCACTGGAAAAACAGTGGCTCAATGGTCAAGGAGCTCGCCTTGTAACCTGAAGATCATGGGTCCAATCTTCAGTGTGGAGTGATGGGTGCGTACTGATGAAGGGTCGCAGACAGGGACGCAACATCTATGCAGCACTCTATGGTGGTTTTCAATGGTTCTCTAACTGATGTCAGTCAGTTCGTGGTGTATAACTCCAAGTCTCAGATAAGATTGAAATTTGAGTATTCCACTTAATAAGTCATAATTTCACGCAGAACTATAGTGGTAAGAGACTACAGAAAGTAATTAACCGATTCACTCCATTGTGAACCTTCTCTTGATGTGACGCACACTCTGTCCCAGGTCAACTTGTGTTTTTCTCAGAATGTGACAAGTAGGACTGACACTCTTCTCTCTGTGCTAAATCCTATCAATGTAATTAGAAACACTTTTAGTCTCTCTATTCATCGAATGTTCACTGTGTAAAATTAGATTCAATTACTAGGTCACAGTGAAAGAAACAAAACTGCTTATGATGATGTACTACCATCATCTCGATTACAACGATTTATTTGAAAACAAATAAACGAGAGTGTACGTGATATTAGATCTTTTGTATTTCACATTGAAAAGCATTGAAAGAAGGTAGGAACTGAGTATAGCATAAAGCTGAACATATTAGCATTTCAACCCTAGTCAACTGAAAATCACTGGGTTCATATTTTGTTATTTGGTGGATGGTGACTAGCAATAGGATCTAGGGTGGTGCATTTCGAACCATCTGGAATTTTTTCTCTGGATATACCTGCAATTCTCAGTGTGAGTGATGGTGTTCACAACGATGCTCGAAACGAGTACATAATCATATTTTCGATTTTTTCATTTCGACAGGAAAAAAGTAGTACTTTAGACTTTAGAACTTTCAGTCTCACGCCCAACTTTCCATCTTTTCTGGGCTAGTAAACTGGAGGCAGTGGTTTAGGAGTACCTTGGTTGGGAATCGAACTCGGACTCTCTGCATGACTGACAAGCATTCTATCAATGAACCAATGACGTATATTGCATTTTCTAACTTCTGCTAATTCGAAGGAGATACAGCACTACTGTCATCTAATTTGACATGTGAATGAATGTTATCACATCGATTCCCAGAGAGATAAAAACATCTTGATTGATCATTAAGGTGCAACCAATCCCATGCCACTGGTTCTTGGTGTTGATACAGACTGGATTGCATGATTGAAATAAGAACAAAGAGTTCAACGAAGAGTCTATTTCAGACAAATTCATTCACTTAGCTGTACAATCTCAATTATATATAATTACCTTTGTATGTGCGTGTATATTAGGTTTGTTAAACAAGAATTCCATCAGTCAAGTTTGCCTAACTGGCTTCCTCAAAATGCTAAGAACCGATGACTGGAGGGTCTGTTGGTGACAAGGAACAAAATGATTATCAATGGCGCAGATGTATTCACTCATTTATCGAATTCAGTAAATTCTTATGTTTTTCCATGTTACACTGGCTATAATGTCTCTGAAGCTCCATTTTCCACCACCTTTGTGTGCTATGGAGTGTAGCGAATTGAATTATTATACTTTTGTGTAACATTCTATGTTGAGAACAAAGTCTTACTCAGTCAGTCACCTCCAGTCTTCCCTAATCTCGCCTCCAATACCTTTTTCTTTTTCCTATAGAGTTTGCAGCACTACTTGGAAGTACGATTCCTATCACAGTTTGAAAAAAATAGCTATGTTAGATGGTCGTAGGCTATCAACAGGAAGCCCTGCTTGACCAAGGTTTCGTGCTTGTTGGCACTCGTCAGCAAAGCGTATCTTCAACCTTGAAGGAGGCGATGTCTCTGTCGAGATTCAGTCATCATCACTAATACCAAGATGCATGACACTGATTACACACCATAATGAGCAGTCAATATATCTAATACAGTCCTACAGAAATTCAATCATAACCCCAAATAGCTCAGTAATAAAGTCTCTGACAACACCACTGGTTGATGCCAGTTCAAATCCTAGACTGGACATGAATTGTTTCAAGGTTTCAGATACACCTTGCAGACGAGTGCAAACAAACACGAAATCTGGGTGAAGCAGGTTTTCCTGCTAACTACCTCCAAACATCTAAAATCAGAAGGAAACGCTTTAAATTCTGATACACACAGTCAATAATTCATCTGAGAAAATTTGTAATAGGCTGGGTATCCCCGTCAAAAGAACAAGCGTTTTGCAGACACAAATATTTGAATAATATAGACATATATACACAACAGTTGAAGAGGGTATCTAACAAACAACCTCTCAAATCCAAATGTTGTCTAAAAAAAATAGTCTAATTCGAGAACTATGGGCTGACTTTCTTTCACAAAGGTATAATTAATTTTAGACGTGATTAATAGCATGAACATTTTCAATCTGAAAAGATTGAAGCATTTCACGCGAATGACTAGAACATGACAGAGAATTATATAGTACAGAAACTGGAACGAATAAGTATAAGCTGGCGTTTGGTAGGCTAATGGAGTGTATTCACAGTTAATGAACATCTGTCTGATCTACTCCGCTAACACTTATTCGCCTAGAATTGATGGAAAAGATTTGAAGTTGAGGTGGATGACGTTTTCGATGTAATTGCCTACTCTGAAATGGATGGTTTATAATTATGAAGCTTTCATTGTCCTCCATTTAGACCACATTACTTCAGCGCATAGTCTTATCTTCAGTATGAAGTGAACATATTTGGATTCCCTGTGATTGATATAATTGTATCTCTTGACGACCTTGATTGCGATTGGTTGTTAAAACTTCTATAAGCATTGATTATTTTTATTGACCTGGAATTTTAATTCTCTTTTTATCATGTGACTTATTCTTTTTTAGTTGTTATATTTGATTTATGTTATTCAGATGTCTGTTGATTGCAGATTTTTTGAGTAACAGGTTTCTCGAGCAGTATTTTTGGTGTTTTCTCTATCTGAGATTTGTACATTTTCCCCGTAGAATTAGTGTCCGTAGTTGTCAGCGGCTATCGATATGACAGAATGAATATCACGTCTTTTGACAGCGAGTTTATGTTCGTCCACACGAAGACGAAGAGAGCCTCGACCTTGATTAACATAATAATATTTTTTGTCTTCTTTTGTCGTTACATCTTTTGGTTGACATAGTATATATTGAAGTGAGCAGCATCTGTGGTAAAGGGTTTTTCTGACAGTTTTGCAGTGATTTCACTGAATAATTTTGAATTGATCGACTCGATTGGAGTGGGCATCCTTTGGTTTTTGGATCACCTTGAAGCTGCATAAAGAATAGTAATGGATAGTTTGTACGTTTACAACTGCTCATATCAATCAGTGAGATATATCATATCGTCCTTTTTTTAATATTGCAAATTTTATATCACTTATGATATTGAACATATCACACACAGTTTGCACTCATGTATGTGTGTACAGCAGTTTTCTCGATGCAGAAGCGATTATCAAGCTCTGACATGTCGAATTATAGCGATGAATGGTAGCAGGGGAAAGGGAGTGGGTAGACGGTGAAAAAAACTAAGCGTGTTTGAAATTAGTCGAAGAGGTAATTACAATGTGTGTATGTATGTATGTGCATCTAACGAGTAACCCAGTAAACCTCTCCCTATAAAACGTTCACTAAGATCAATTACACATCAATAAGTTCTCTTCATTCATTTTACATTAGGAAATGCAAGCAATTTATTACTGTCTGAGAAACAAAGGTTGACATTCTGTTGACGTAATACACATAATACACCCTTCTATCCATCTATCCATCCACCAAAAGCGATCAGTATATACTTCCTTAACAAGAGGTAGTATTTACAAGTCGGTGGGAACTTTTAAGCCGTTTCTTCTTTGTATTTCTTTTTGTCTTGACAAATCAAAATGAATCACTGATTGTTTTTTTTTACCTCTTAACGCTAAGCTGCTATTGATGGCAGCCAGACAATATTAGTTTCCAACTTATTTTGACCTTTTGGTGAGCTGCTTAAAACTTCCAAAGCATAAAATCAAACACACACATACACTGGAGACTATTTAGTGAGTAAAGAACATTCAGGTTTGCATCATAGAATAATTTCACTTGATAAAACACACAGTGACACAGTATTATTACAGTGACCTGCTTAAAACTTGGGTCGCCAAAAAGCTTCAACACTATACTGCATATAATTTATCTTTTTTAGTTTGTTTTCATCTGTTAAGACATGATAACCAGTAGTGTTTTCTACTCTCACGAGTATTTAAAATGTCTTTACAACCTGCCAACTTGAGAAAAAGCAAAACCATCGGTTGCAACGTATCTTATTACATATGATAACTCTTCCTGAGATTTTTAGCACAGACTTTCACTACCTGAGGATTACAACTAACTACTCACAGTCTTCAACTATGTCCTTGGGTCTCAAATTGTACTCCTGCCCATATTTTAATTGGTTTCTA